GATTTGGATCAGTTCAGGTGAAGCTTCCCATAAAAGGTTCAAGAATAGGAAAAGGGGGAAAAAAGTCTTCTAAATTCAGAGTTCATTTTTCAAATAAACTTTTCATTTTGTGGAAATGTTTGAAAATCAGCTGTGCCAAAAACAAAGGCAAGTGCTGAGTTTGCATTTTCTACCCATTATTTTATACTATAGATTTGTCATCAACAGAAGAGAATATATGTAGCTCAGGGTTAAACCCTGCGGTCCTTTGTGCTCTCTGAGCTTGGTGGTTTTCTTGCAGATGTTTCATTGTCAAACTAGGTATCATCAGTATAGTTTCATATGCAAAATAATAGTTTATATGTAGGTTATGTCTGTGAGAATACTGTATATATACAACTTTGCTGTATATTGTACCAAAAAAAGGAAATAAGGTTTCCTGCAAATAAAAATTGAAAATATTTTGCATTTAGTGAAAATGTTTTCATTTAATTTTCAGTTATGTAAAAACAAATTAATATGTTTTAATATACTGGGGTAGAATGTAGGAAATGGAATGTCTCTCAAGAGAGGCTTTCTAATTTTTTTTCCTTTGGGGCACCAAATAAAGATTCTTTAGTCTCCAAATATTTTAGCTTGTTACTTTTTACAATATTGGCACTTTTTAAATCTTTGAATTTTGTCTACCTGAAAGGACAGGAAATATCATTTTAGCTGTGCCTGCTCAAATCCTCCTTAGATATCCAAAATATCCTTAGATAACTAGAGACTTTCCCCATGCCTTTGTCAACTAATTTTGAACAGGGTTTAATTATTCTTGCCTCATTAAATATTTTATTATTTTCACATTTTTAATTTTAAAATTTTAACTCCAACATTTTAATATTTATATACTGTTTCTATATTTTGATGTTTTATTATACACCACCCACAGTCCTTTGAGGGAGATGGGCAGTTCAGAAATGTGAAATATAAATAAATAAAAATTTACTCTGGTAACTAATAAATTGAATTAATTAATATTGCTTTGAGTGAAAAAAAATGGCATGGACAGCATTCCATTTATAAGATAATATAGAACAGTATGCACTATATTTTAATACAGTATAATCTAAATTGGCCTTTTCTGTGTTATGATATGCAGGAAAATATAAAAAGAATTCTTTATAAGAATTATCTAGATCTCTATAGAACCAGTCACAGTAAGGAGTAAGGGGAGTAAGTGATGAATGAAAACCTATGATTAGGTGCTTACATCCAGGTTTATGACATTGCATTTTTCATAACTGTAGTTGGTAATAGTTGCTTGGGTCTTATTGATTGACAAGAAAGTTTAAATAGTAATCCAATTTAATCAGTATGGTTTAATTCAGTTCAGGATTCTGGACTGGGTTATGTATCTTTGCTTTACATTTTTCCTACCATAAACTACAAGACAGGAGTATCTGGGACATTACATAAGATGACATAGAAGGCAACAGTAAGAAAACTAGAAAAATGTTGTTCCTTCTCTATTATTTCTGCAGATTCAGTGGTGGGATTCAGCCAGTTCGCACCACTTTGGCAGAGCTGGTAGCTAATTTTTTGTTGCCCAGGCCCAAATGAACTTCCGGAAGCAGCATCCACACAGAACTGGTTGTTCACATATTTGAATCCCACCACTGAGCAGATTGCATTCCACCAATAAAAAGATCCCTATTCAGCATCCCTTCTTTATAAGCCAAGCCATCGTTCCACAAAACTTGTACAAAATTTCAAATGTGTCTGCTAGGATAAATTTGGAAGAGGGGATTTTCCTTTCATTTCCACTGAATGGAAAGAAGCATAGGCTAAACTAATTTATCAATTATTTGCCTACCTCTATGGGGGAAAGCTGAGTTGGAGGGACACCTTGTTCTCAATTGTCAAAGAAAGCTGCAATGTCCACAAGACGTAGGAGATGCTGGCCATCATTAAATCTGCAAAGGAAACCTAGTACCCTGTGTGTTAATTACAGTAATTCAAGATGTTTCTGGAATATAATCACTTCTTTTTCTTTCAGCCATTAATTGATTCAAGTTTCTGTTACAAGGCCTTAAACTGTGTTGCAGTCTTCTAGGGGGAAAAAAGGCTAATGCTGCTGTCTGCATTTCCTAGCATATGTTTGTGATTGCAAAACATGAAGCCTGCCTGTTTCTCTTTTCTCTGTTGCGTTAGTTGTCCCTATATTAATAGAAATATGCTGCAAAGCTGCAAACACGACTATAGTGACATTTCCTGTCAAGAGCAATATAAGACATTTCAGCCAACCATTTGGCTCTTCATTCATGGGACTCTCTGGGTTGAGACTTGAAGATAATGAAGTTCAGATGTTATGGTGTCTCAAAGAAAGAGAGAATCGGTCTGATGGCACCAATGTGATCAGAGCATACAGTATATCTAATGTAGGAGCTGGAGATAAGAGACTCTCAAGAGAGAACTTTTTAGTTCCTCTCTGGAGGAAATAAGGCTTGGTATCTATGGATCTCCATACATTAGGAGTTATCTCAAGAAAATTCACAATACTCTGTAAAACCTACATAGTGCTTTGAATATGTATTGTATACATATGTATTGTATTTGTGGAATACAAAATAACACAACTGACTTACAGAATAACAGTATAACAGAGTTATAAGGGACCTTGGAGGTCTTCTAGTCCAACCCCCTGCTCAAGCATTATTTCAGATAAACGGTTGTCCAATCATTTCTTAAAGCTCTTCCTGGTAAACCTCTTTCTTGTTATATTCCAGATTCCAGTGTGTAATTCATTTGTTCATAATGAATGCATTTGTGCATACACAATGTGTGCATGACTCTTGCTTATGCATTAGTCCAAAAGCAATCATTGCTATACTGGATCATTTTATATAGTAATAGACCTTCCCCAAACATCCTGATTGTCAGGCAATGTACTTGCATAATTACAGGATTTTTTTTTTAATAGGCGTTATTTCTTGAGTAGTCTATTAGGTGAAGCGTGGCATCAGGAGATTTCTTCTTTATATAGCATGTACACAAAGGGCCTTGATCCATATTACCTTTGAATGTCTTTGATTGAAGTCCTTAGGGCTGACGCATAAATGACTTTTTAACAGGGTAGAATTCTCATGTGATGAGCTTTATCGTCTAATTATGCCTGTTTGTACAAAATAGTCCCCAAATGGGAAAAAAATCAAAAGTTAACAGCTGAAAATCTAGCTTCCAGCTATTTTCTCTAACACATTATTTAATTTTTCTTATTGGAAACCATTTCAGATAGGGATGCACAAATCACTTGAAATCCAGCTGATTATTATATACCTTCTGAAAAATATTCATTTGTTATTGTTCAAAACTTTCACTAATATAGAATGTTTTGCGCACATGGGTTCTTAATATATGGAGCTTTGCGTATAATTTTCTGAATTCAAGTTGCATGGATAATATCTTCTGTAATGCATATACAGGTAGTCCTTGACTTACAATAGTTCATTTAGTGACCTCTCAAAGTAACAACGGCATTGAAAAAAGTGATTTGTGACAATTTTTTCCACTTACAATCATTGCAGCTGCTTGGAAACTGACTAGTATCCTGGGATCATGTGATCACCTTTTGTGACATTCTGACAAGCAAAGTCAATGGGGAAGCAAGATTTACTTAACAACCATATTACTAACTTAACAACTGCAGAGAATCGCTTAATAACCGTGGCAAGAAAAATTGTAAAATGGGGTAAAATTCACTTAGCAAAATTCACTTAGCAACAGAAACTTTGGGCTCAATTGTGGTCATAAGTCAAGGACTACCTGTATACATTTCTTCTTTTTCTTCTTCTTGTGCCCTAGCCGTGAAGAAGAATGAATACTCTATTCATTATTGCCTCATAAATCACATATTTCTTTAATATCCTTAACTCTATTCAGATGCCTCATAAAAGTGTCCTGAACCAACTTTAGAGTAAATATGTTGTTGCTGCCATGGCTTTTAAGTTTCTATGAGTAATTTTATGTCAGCATGGACAGTATTATGATACTAGTATAAAGATTTCTTTTTCATTAAAACCAATGCAGTCACAAAATGTCTTAGGTCAATCTTACATGGAAAGAGATTTAGGCTTAGTTTTTGGTGGCCTCTTCAGGTTTCTAAACTTTTCTATGGGTCTCAGACCAGTCATGTGGTGGTTTGGACTGAAAAAAGTGACTCGCCTGTAGTCCTTCAGTGAGACTGATAGAAAAGTTCAGGAACCAGAAGAGGCGACCAAAAACCAAACCTAACAATATAATGGTTACATCATTATATATCACATTATACTGAAATTTATACCAAATTGGCAAATTATTATAGGCTGGTTTTAATGCAAACCTTATCCCTTTTCTTGATAATGCTTAGATGGTCATTTTAATGCACATTGATATATAAGAAAAAAAGAAAATGTGGGCAAAATGGAATTTCACTAATTTCCCATATACATAGCATTGCAGTTAGACTAAAAGTTCATAGAAGCTTATAAATAGATTGATGTCTTTTCTGACCTGGTATCTCTATTATAATAGTTTATGGGGAAATTGTGGATCAATATTGCGATAGTGATATGAACTGTACCATGCCAGGTGCAAATGAAAAGAGTTGTTATTTCTCTGCACGTCATCCAGGGCTGTAGGAAAAGTCTAGATTTCTGCCTGAAAAATTATTAGAAGAGGCAAGAGGCTAATTTATAGAGAAGAATAGATTTTCGTGTCATGTAATTATGAAAAGAAGAATTTAGACTTATCAGCAAGACAAGTAAATGCAGGATGAAATCTATGGAGCATGCTGTCTAGAGAGATAAGAGTAGCTTGAAAGAAGAAATTGGAATAACCCTACATTATTTACAGTGAAATTGTGTTTGAGAATTCACAGCACTATAGGATAGAATTCCATAGTGACCGGCTGGGCTTCCTCAGCTATCTATTTCATGATGCAAAATTAAGGAAAAGAGAGAACGGCAGAAACATGCACCAACACTTTCTTTCTTTTCCAGCACAAATTGAAGTGATACCATGCAAAATTTGTGGTGACAAATCGTCTGGAATACACTATGGGGTCATCACCTGTGAAGGCTGCAAGGTATGTAATGTTTATGTGTCTGTGTTATCACTGCATTCTGTGGCAGCTTCCATCATATTTGGATTAAACGAGAGTCGTTTCAACAAGGATTTTCAAAATGGTGCAAAAATGTCAGCCATTCTCCCTTATCTCAGGACTATACATGTGATTTTTTCCAAAATGTTTGAGGGCATGTACAAGTAGCACAAAAAGAACATGTTCTCTGTAAATATAAAACAGCTTCTCAACAAATATAAATGCACACGTCTCTTTAGCTCAAGTCTTGCTTCTAGCTCCTATTTCAAATTGTGAGAAAAAAACTATGACATTTGAATGAAAAAGACTTGAGTTCCCCTCTGTTTGGCTTAGTCAGGGGAAATAAAAACTGCCAGTACAGCAGGATATTTCAGTTTGCCATACCAGATTGCTGGGTGGGGGGGGAGCAAATGTTTTGAATAAAATTGGAGCAGAAACATCTATTTAAGAAGGCATTGCATAGTCCAGCGATGGCAAACCTTTTAGAGACCGAGTGCCCAAAAACTGGCCCCGCCCCTGCCCCATCCCTGCCCCACCCCCTGCCCCGCCCCCACCCTCACTCCACCCCAGCCTGCCTGCCCGCAGGGCCACTCACTGCCCCCAGTCACTGCCACATATCGCCCAGGCAGCCCAGCAGCGCCACAGGAGCCACGCCCTCTGCCCACGCCCCGCAGCATCAACTGTGCATGTTGGAGCAGTGAGGGCAGAGTCTTGTATATCTGCCTGGCTGCCATGTTCTTGGCTGCACTGCTCCGCATGGGCCATGCTCAGGGGTGACTCTCCTCCAGGGAGGCTGCTGGTGAGGGGGTCACAGGTGGAGGCAAGGCTGGGGCAATGACATGTGTGCCCACAGAGAGGGCTCCGAGTGCTGCCTCTGGCACCCATGCCATAGGTTCGCCACCACTGGCATAGTCTATACTATTGAACAGAGTTTCCTCCCAAGTAAGCATATGTAAGATTGCAAAATTTTAGCAACTCATATTATTCAACTCTGAATAATAAGAGTTAAGATTTGAACAGTACTTCACAAAGTTTTAAAAAACCATCCCCTCGTTCATAATCTCCTTATTCATAATGTTTGTTCCTTTCTTCTTTTTTCTAAGGATATCAAGTTTTCCAGAAACTCTGAAGATATGGCTAATAAAAGTATTCCTTTTATTTACAATAGTAGCTTCATCGTTTTTATAGATTGTATAACTGAGCACTGCCAGTCAAGAGATTTTGGAGATAACTCTTGAGTTAAACTGGTTACTCTACATTAGTGTTTCTCAACTTTGCTGTGTGGATTTCAACTCCATGCTGGCTGGGGAATTCTGGGAGTTGAAGTCCACACCTCTTAACCTATAGCTGAAAAACCCTTTTCTATTAATTTCTCACTTTTGTATCCTGACAATCCTTCCAAAATCTTTGGAACTTCTGGGGGAAAGTGTGTGTATAAAATTATCCTAATTTAACCTTTGCAACAACTGTGAGAGAAACATTAAGTTGAGAATGCAGGCAGACTAGCATTATTCAGAGTATCGTAGCTAAATAGGGACTTGTGTTCGAGCACTAAGGCTGACATTCATTATTATCCCAACTTTATCTGTACCTGGCAAAATTTCAAAAATTATACCACATCCAGACACTATTTTAATTGCAAGGATGGTTCTGAGATGCTGCCTTAAATACAGAGATCTAGCTGTCTTTCTTTTTCTCCTCACTAGGGATTCTTCAGGAGGAGTCAGCAAAACAATGCTTCATATTCCTGCCCAAGGCAGAGAAACTGTTTAATTGACAGAACCAACAGAAATCGCTGCCAACACTGCCGACTGCAGAAGTGTCTTGCCCTGGGAATGTCTCGAGATGGTAAAGCCCTGGCTTTCTGATTCACAGATCAGTCTTTGGAACTGTTCTTCCTTGCAGTCTGTTTTCCCTTTCCCAAAGTAAAGGCATCTTTCTGTTCGGGGAAATGGATCCCTGCTGTTCCCCAAAGAAGGCTTTGTAACTAGAGGGGTTATGATGTCAAACAGAGAGTAAAATTAATCCAAGTACAAGATGTCACAATGGAAATTTGGAACAGAATTGCTGATAAGCATTAAGCTAAATTTCTCAACAACTGTAATGGGATTTGCCAGACCTTGGTTTAAGTAGACTTTAGAATGCAGCATTTGCTATTTAACAGGTCCCTTCCCATGCCCCCCTCATTTGTCTATTAAACTGAGGGAATGCTTTAATCTCAAAACACAAACATTGCTCACAGCAGGCCCCAGAGCAGCCTATTATGATGAAAGCTTTATTTTATTTATTTTATTATTTATTTTTATCTATTATTTAGAGTCCACAAAGTCCCTATGTGACCGAAATGGGCAGCTTAAACTTTCCATAGATAGAAAGATAGATAGATAGATAGATAGATAGATAGATAGATAGATAGATAGATAGAGATGGATGGATGGATGGATGGATGGATGGATGGATGGATGGATGGATGGATGGAAGGCCACTGAGTCAAAAAAAGCTCAAGGTAGCCTACAGAATTGAAATTACTGTAAGGAAATACGGCTAGAAACAAAATACTAGTGCATTGAGTAAATGTACAAAAAAGAAAATTTCAGCCACCAATTATAACCATTATAATTGATAACGTGAGCAAATTATTGTATTGTCTGTGCATGTTTTAGGGACAATTGCTGGAAATATTATTGGGGAGATGGGCGGCATATAAATTTAATGAATAAATACAAATATTTGTTTGTTTGCTTCTGGTTTTTATGAAGCAAAGGAGAAAGAAATATTACTAACTGGGAGACAGAGCATTTAGCAACTGGTAAATTTAAAGAGGAGAAAGCAAGCCTGGATTGGTTGCATTTTCTGCTCTTGGCTATTCACTAGCACAGGCTGAGCAACAAGTGGCTGAAAGTGCTGTCAATCAGAAGCATTTTTCAGAACTCCTCTACCCTGATTGGTAAATCATAATCAACTTGGACATTATGGAAGGAAGCAAAAGCAACTTTATGTGAGACCGCCTTGAAGAACATGCAAAGGTGCAGCTGTTCCACAATGCAGTAGTGCCAGCAATAACGGACATATGCCCAGGCAACTCCTCTTTTTTACAGGCTGCCCTCGTTGCCAGAAAGATTGTGGCTGCTTGAATAGTGGTCAACACAAATATGTTTGTGTTGACCTTTGAGTCAATCCATGCAATTTTCTTAACAAGATTTTTGCAAGTGGTTTGCCATTGCCTTCTTCTTTTTAGAAGTGAGAGAGAGAGAGACTAGCCTAAGGTCACCCAGTTGGTTTGATGCCTAAGTCAGAACTAGAACTCAGTATCCCCACCTAGTGCCTTAGCCACAGACCAAACTGGCTGCTTGTCTTCCAGCCTGTCTATTCAGACAGAATCAACACGCTCCTGGTCCATCCATTAACCATCTCATGGAATCATGAAAGTGTGCTTTTTCTGTCATTTGGAACAGCGTTCCCACAGAGATTTGAACAGTCCCAGGCTTGATCTTCTTCAGACAAGCCTTAAAGACTCAGCTATTCCCCTAGGCCTTGGACTAGAGTGAAAGGAGAACTACTTTGTGAAGCTGGATGCACAAGGCAGATAGTGGATTGTTTATTCCTGGTTAACCATTGTTTTTTCATTGATTAATTGTTTCCATGATTTGATTTTACTGTTGTTCACCAGGGTCAGTCTTACAAATATGGAGGAAGAAGAAAGATACTGAATTATGTTCCAATATAGCTGAAAACGAAATGATATGAAAATTGGTGTGGTTAAATGCACATTGTAAAAGCAACTTAGGTGAACTTACCAGTTTGTTTGGGGCTTTTGTTTTTTTAAGGAGACAGGGGACTAAACTGGAATGCAATGCATAAGGACAGGAGAGTCTACTACAGTTAATATATTTTGCCTTGAAAATGAATGCAATTTCTTGAATATTTTAAATAACCCTTTAGGAAGGATGAAGCCTAATATTGAGTAATGTTAATATACAAGAAGCTGCATTTATTTTTTTATAGAAATTATGTTACGTTAAAGGTTAGCTCCATTATGTTCTTAAGGGTTTCAACGCAGTAAATATCGAAAATTCTTGAGGGATGTGTCCTTGCTGTGTTCCATTTTTTTCACAAGTCTAAAAACATTTTTTCCTGCATATTTTATTCTTTTATTTTTCATTAAAAAGACCAAATCTCTTACCCTGCAATACTTTCTTCATAATGGCAGTGGGTCAAAGAGTATTCCCCCAAAAAAGGACACGTACCTATGCACATTTTGGACAACCATGACCTGGATGATTTCCATAGACGACAGGTGCCTACCCAATATCATGTCACTTTTTTGGCCAAATATTACCTCAATCTAGAAAGAAATGTCTATTCATACAGGTGGCTTTTATAGTGTCCATTGTGGAGCTGAAGTGATGCTGCCAGATGTTTTTGGATTGCAGATCAAATAAATCCCAGGCCAGATAGCTAAAGGTTTGGGTTGATAGAAGTTTCAGTCCAGCAATTTCTATAGGGCTACATTTTCCCTGGTCAACAGCAGAGCGTGCATTTGTGTGTGTGTATGTGTGTGTGTGTGTGTGTGTGTGCATGTGAGACAGAGAGAGAGAGAGAACAAAGGGGGTCAGAATAATGAAAGCAACATTGAGGCACACAACATGAGCTCTGCCTCTTTGGAATGCGGTCATGATGTCACTCACATGTCGGAAGGCAGAAGAGCTTGCAATGCTTGACCCTGCTTTCATCATTCTGACAAAAACAGCAAGGATTCCTGCATGGTGCTGTCCCCAGCTCTGTACCAACCTATTGAAAAAAACGGCTAATGAAGATGACAATATTGCTTTGCGTTATGACTGGCAATTTTTGTCCCTTTTCTCGTCAGAAGAAATGAACCCTTTTATTACTTTAAAGTTATATGTGACAAATCTTTTCTGGGATGTAACTTACAAATTGTGCTTCTTTAGAGGAAGTGTGATTCCTGTAGAGTGTTTCCCTTAGTCTGTTATTTCCCTTCATTGTAATCTGTATAACATTCTCCCCCAAAAAGTGTGTGTGAAGATAATAGCCCCGTTGACAGATTGTGATAATAGGGAGTTGGGGTTTGTTACCTTCCAAGAGTACTAATCCTATTAGCGCACAGATAAAAGGTTTGGAGAAAATTAATAAATCACACAGGATACAAATCTGAAAACAATATTTTTAGAGCCCTGGTTTGCTGCACAGTGAACATGGGGAGATGAAAAAGCAGTTGCGAGGCTGCTCATTATGCACAGCAGGATGGTGGTTGCCTGGCACTCTAGGAAGAATATTCTCTTGATTTCAATCGAACTTTGGCTAGGGTGAGCAATTGGAGTGAGTGAGCCTGGGAGACTAGACCCTACAGCTCCCTTGTCAGGAAAAGGCAACCAGCAAAAGAGTATACATAAAAGGACAAAAGGTTGTCACTTTGAGTGACAATATCCTATGGTCACTGTCAGACTCTATGTGTTTTTAAAAGAAAATAATTAAAATATTCTTCATTTCCTTCAGAAATCTCAAGTTCAGTTAAAAAGAATGCTTAACTCAAAGGACATCCTTTCGGCTTTTAAATAATTTGGAATTATTTAAATTCCAAATTTGCAGAGGACTATATCGCATCATTTTCTTCCACTCTATTAGTGAAAGCCTATGAGTTAAAAATTAAAATACTCTCTCTTTACAATGACCAACATTAACTGTTATTCCAAACAATATAAAACAATGAACAAGCTGGTTTATTTTTTAAAAAAATCATCATTATTTTATAGTAAACCGTTTTTTTAATGAATGTATATCTCAACTACCAAAAAGATTTTTAGAAGAATCAGACAGGGCAGACTATTCTGACTGAAATTTACAGGACATTGAAGAAGAAATCAACTGTAAAATAATCCTGATAAACTCGATAAGTGAATCTATGACAATAATGAGTATGGAGGGTCATCTGTTAAATACAAATATCCATTAAATCCAAATTACATAATTTGCATCCATTTACATCCGTAATTATGTAATTGACATAAATGGCATATGCAGTAAAATTTCAATTTACTGTAATGGAAAGACCATTAATTTAACTAACAAACTATTTATTAAATGGAATGAAGTTAAAGCTAAACATTTCTTGTTGTATCTGGAGTCTTTACTTTAGGTCAGCGGTTCTCAACCTGTGGGTCGTGACCCTTTTGGGGGTCGCACGAGCTTTTCATAGGGGTCGCCTAAGACCATCGGAAAACACATATTTCCAATGGTCTTAGGCAGGGCTTGTCAACCGCCTTCTCTCCCTCCCCCCCTCCACTCCACCTCACTTGTTTGTGGAAAATATGCTGCTTGGCAGCAGTGTACACGAACTCTACCAAACCTCTACAGTTGATCCGCACTTTTGCAGAGCAGCCAAGAAGCAGGTCAGCTGTAGCAGCTCCCCTTGGCTCCTGCCCAGCAAACTTGCTTGAGCTTTGCTAGAAAACATGCCGCTTGCTAATTTAGCAGAAGCGTGAATCAGCTGTAGCCTCGCGCTGATCCTGGGGCTTCTGCTAACTTAGCAAGCGACATGTTTTCTGGTGAAGCTGAGCAAGTGAGCTGGGCGGAGCTCTGCCTCTGGAAGCCTATCCCCCTCCCCCTTGTCCCTTCCTGGGCACAGAGGGGGAGAGGAAGGAAGAGACGAAGAGGGAGGGAAGTAAGGGACAATAAGTGAGGGAAGGAAGGAAGGAAGGGACAAAGAGGGAAGGAAGGAAGGGACAAAGAGGGAAGGAAGGAAGGAAGGAAGGAAGGAAGGAAGGAAGGAAGGAAGGAAGGAAGGAAGGGGAGGGGAAGGAAAGAAAGGAAAGAAGGAAGGGACAATGGGAAAGAGGAAGGGAAGGAGGAAGAGACTAAGGGAGGTGAAGGAAAGGAAGGAAAGAAGGAAGGAAAGGACAATGGGAAAGAGGAAGGGAAGGAGGAAGAGACTAAGGGAGGTGAAGGAAAGGAAGGAAAGAAGGAAGGAAGGGACAATGGGAGAGAGGGAGGGAAGGAGGAAGAGACTAAGGTGAAGGAAAGGAAGGAAAGAAGGAAGGGACAATGGGAAAGAGGGAGGGAAGGAGGAAGACTAAGAGGGAGGTGAAGGAAAGGAAGGAAAGAAGGAAGGAAGGAAGGGATAAGGGGAGAGATGGGAGGGAAGAAAGGCAGGCACCCACCCCAGTCCCATCCCAGAGACCCATAGATTCCACCCCACAGGCACTCTGCAACCTGAGTGATCAGCTGGCCATGCCCCCTGGCCACTGATCACTTGACCTTGGGACAGTGTGAATGTCATAAGTATGAATCAGTTGTCAAGCATCCGAATGTAAATCACATGACCCTGGGGATGCTGCAACAATCATAAGTGTGAAAAATGATCATAATTCGCTTTTTCAGTGCTGTTGTAACTTCAAACAGTCACTAAGCGAATTGTTGTAAGTCGAGGACTACCTATACTTTCCCATTTTTTCCCTCTCTTTTTTTGGTCAAGTTTTTGATACCCCCCCCCCCGGCCAGCTGGTTGGGGATTGGGGGTCACCACAACATGAGGAACTGTATTAAAGGGTCGCGGCATTAGGAAGGTTGAGAACCACTGCTTTAGGTCCATTACTTTCTAGTAGATTAATCTCATGTTTACTGGTCTTAAGGTAAAGTTGCTGAGATTTCCAAGGGAATGATGCAGAAACAGCTTGATTCTTACTTTAACAAGTATATATAAGCAAAGCTTTTCTCACCATGAAGTTAAACAGGTGGAAACAAAACTGAATTGCTTGAACTATTATATGAACAAATTTTTTCTCCCATTAAAAATGGATAAGTTCACAGTTGCTCAATATTAATTCTCTTTGAGTTCCTGTACAGGTTATTTCAGCCTCTGCACAGTAAGGATCAAATATATACATCTATATTTCTCTGTTGGTCTAATTGAGACAAAATAAGAGATTTTTATGCAAAGATTTTCAAGAAGATTGCATACTGAAAGCAATCTCCCAGATGCCATGGTGCTTCTTATACTGAATGAATGAATGAATGAATGAATGAATGAATGAATAGTTCCAGTGATGGACATCTTATACCATATAAAAAAATCTCTCAACAAATGTGGTTTCTTAAACTCCTTCGCTGCCTTGTATGTGGTATAAATCCATTTAATTGTGCTTTATCTAATAACCATTATTAAATCACAAACTGGCATAGCCTTTAAAGATTAATGATCTCTAATCAGTTTGAAGCACTTAGTACCCTGCACCTGGTCAAAGTGATATTTTAAAAATAAGAATACCAATGTATTTTTGAAATTGTTCTTGTTTCAGCTGTAAAGTTTGGAAGAATGTCCAAGAAGCAGAGGGACAGCCTCTATGCTGAGGTACAGAAGCATCAGCAGCGGCTGCAGGAGCAGCGCCAGCAACAGAGCGGCGAGGCTGAAGCCTTGGCCCGAGTCTACAGCAGTAGCATCAGCAATGGCTTAAGCAACCTGAACAATGAAACAGATGGCACTTATTCAAATGGGCACGTCATTGACTTGCCGAAGTCAGAGGGTTATTACAGTGTGGATTCTGCTCAGCCTTCCCCAGATCAGTCTGGCTTAGACATGACCGGAATCAAACAGATCAAGCAAGAACCTATTTATGACCTCACTTCTGTACCAAACTTGTTTACCTATAGCTTCTGCAACAATGGACAATTAGCTCCAGGGATAACCATGGCAGAAATAGGTAAGACAATCTTGTCTTTGGTGGTCAGTGTAATTTTCACAATGGTTGTGTGTCCATCTCTCAAGCTGCAAGGTTGCATTTGAAACGGGTTGATCCTGTCTGACTAGATTTGTTGTAGAGTCAGTTTACGGAATTCTAAAATGTTTACATTACTTAAATGGAGCAATTCATGATCTGTTTATGAAGCTGAATGCCACAGTCAGTGATAAATCCATCAAATGATAATTACTAAATAGAGAGTTTCTATCAAAAGAGCTCATTATCATGAGGGTTTAATGATCTTTTCGACAACTATACACATTCTTGTCAACAAATCGCTCTGAAAGTGGATCATTAATAGGACTGGCATGAAAATTAATTATAATGCAGAACTTTGTGGTCTTGCATTGAAGACTCAAGATTTACATCCGCATTTGGCATAAATCACTTCACACTCTCCCTGTTAATTCATTGGAGAATTTTATTTCAACTGTTAGGCATAATTTCTTCAGTTATGACTCTGATAATTGGCAGTGTAACCTCATTGTTAGGTGTCTTGTATAGGGAGGAAGGAGATGTCTTTATGATGACCAATATTTTCTATTCACAGTTATGTTAAAATACATAATTAGTTTTCAACCAATGATTGTTATATTTGTTATAACAATAATTTATTAATCTTGTATGCCATTCAGTGGAATGTGTTTTCTAAAAACTCTTCTTCTCAGACCATAAAAATACAGCCATAAATATGTTCTGCTAGCATTTAAATTTATGCAGAGGAATAAAAATAGGCTACTTCTGGGCAATTAGTCTTGGTTGAATTTGGAGATGTACATTTGCAAGTTGAATAAGCATGATCCAAGCTACTTCAAAATTCAATTCAAAACAGATTTGTGCATATTCAGTAATGGGCAAGTTTCAAAATGCCTGCAGCCACTTTTGTTCCTTCCTTTCTTTGGCAGACTAAAATGGTAGATTTTTTAAAAGGAATTGACCCTGCCATGTTTCAGCCAGGTGCAGTGAAGGACTCCACTAAATGTTTGAAATATTTCCCTGATGCCTCTTTTAAGGCAGAGATTAACAAGGATGGAAAAAGGACAACACAGCAAACTCCAAATTGTTCCCCCAAAGGGCTACAGAGATAAGTTGAATCAATGGTGAAAGTATCCTCCCTCCAAATGAAATGCATTATTTTTCAAAAACCATTTAAACATTAGGCCCTTCATTTTCTGAGATCCTGAGATTCACATTGTAGTGAAGAATTCCCATTCACTTGGCCTTCTAATTAATACAATTTCTGTATCAGGTATATTGGGATAGCTGGATGGCAAACATGGCTGCTCCTAAAATAAATCTCTCAGAATGGGATAAGGCTGGAAAAGCCCATTGATAAATTTCACCTCATAGAGCTTGGCTGCCACTCTATCGGTTCATTAGAACAAGTAGGCTGGTCCACTGGGGTAAAAGGCCATAGATATGCAGGCTGTGAACAGGTTGGCCCAAAGAAAATGACATTGGTAGGCTTGCGGTCCTCTTATTCTTAAAAGCAGTGAACATTTCAGCCAGCCCTTATGAATCCTCTCTCTTTCTTGATTTTAAATTGATATTCTGCCCTTAGTCACTGAAAGAAGCTGGGCAGCTTTAGAAATGGGAAGAAAATATATAAATAAATGTTAATCCATTCACTCATAATTGAGAAACTTACGCGAGCATGGATCAAGCAGAATTTAAAAGTAAGATATGGCTCCAAAGAGCTGCTGGACTGGTCAGCTGTGAAACCATATTCAAAATGCTAAGAAATGAAGAGGGCTCTAAATTGGCTGACAGGATCATCACAAACATGTATAATTCTGTTTGCACAGGAGAGAGCAAAGTTAAGCCTTTTAGCTGGCCATATTAATGAGCACTGAGTACTAAGAAAATGAAGGAAGCCTGAAGCAGTGCCACCCTTACCACCCCAAGAGAGCTCTGATAGGCAGAGAACTTAATGAGGCGATAAACGCATTGGCCAGTCACTTACTAAATGCCAGGGAAAATACTTGACAACACCCCCCTCCCTGTCCGCCCCCCAGTCTTCTCCATATATGGAAGCGAAAAGGCAAAATTACATTTTGTCTGCAAAAAGCTTCCAAAACAGCAGAAAAGCCGTGGAGTCTGTAACCACTTTGGAGCCATCTGATTCAGTTTGCTACATCAAAGCAGGTCCCTACTTCATTTTGTGAATCTGTTCCATGGGAATTGAACTGAATCTTTGTCGGAGTGAAGCACCCCTTTGAAGCGTTGCATAGCCTTGAGCTCCAGAGCTTTCCTAAAACCACAGACTAATTAGAACAAAGCCATAACTCTTTTGGGGCTGTCTTCTCAAATCTGCTGGGTCTTGGCTGATTACACTACACAGACTATACCTACCAAACTAAGCCAAAATATAATTGATTTGCTCTTAGCTTCACATGTGGATATGATAACTGGCCTGCAAAAATCTAGATGACCGCTAGCTGGCATCAAAAGGCTGTTTAACGCTTTTAGTCTTTGCTGCCTAGTTGGGATCTGGAGGTGCTACAAAAATCCTTAAGCTAACATTTCCCTTGCTTCCATCTCTTGAAACACAGGAGTCAAAAGTAGGGATGTGACAGAGCTGCCCCAACATCTTAAGGCTGCTATTCTAGTGGTCAGCTGGAACTTTGCAACCCAGATTTGGTAGATCAAGCTTAGCAGGGATGTGATAATCCAGTCTTCATAGTTTATAAATATATTCTTTAGTGTGGGGTGGCTGTAGTAAATTTTATAAATATATACATAAACATAGCATGTTGTGTGAATTCAACTAATTTTCTTGTATTTCCCATCATATTATAGGTTAATGCAAAGTTTTTCAAACTTGGTATCTTTAAGATGTGTGGACTTCAACTCCCAGAATTTTGATAATTGAAGTTACACAACTTAAAGTGACCATGTTTGAAAAACACTGGATTGGTGCAACATACAAATTGAATTGATGAATAAGACATTGTACAGTCATCCATAAGAATTGCTAGTATGGAGACAGAGAAAGATTCAATCTCTGTCAACAGTATTTTTCTTAATGGAATGTTGTTTTTCCGTACACCCCAACATCCTAGATCTTCTACTCTCTCACCTAAAGATCCTTTAACATAGGACCAATGTAAATAAACATATAGATATGTAGACTCTGCTTTAGTGGTATTATCTTATGTGTATATTTTTTTCAGAAGCATTGTTTCTTGGTTACTGTATAAGATTGCAGTATAACTTTGTTACATAAAGCAAGGGGTTTGATGATTAAAAAAAGTGACTTCAGGTTGTAGATGTAAGCCTGATTCAGATTCTAATGGCTAAGCTATAGTTTGATTAACATGGTTTACTGAATAAACCATGCCTCTTCACTTGTAGAATTAATTAGCTGAGGTCTGTAGCAAAGGTTAAATTTCACTTAAGTAACTGACACCAAGAAATGATATCTGAATTTAGTCATTAAATATTTTTCTTTTGTGTAACATGCAACTTAATGAAGAATTTTGAACAACTCAAATATTGCACCAGAGATGTTTTCTTAGTCCTAATAAAATTTCTGGCAAAAGAAAGTACCCATTGGGGAAATGGATTTGCTTAATAATCATGGTGTTCACTTAAAAACAGTCATAACTTTGAACGCAACACCTTGCCTTCTGACTGCAATGACTTACAGTCATAAGTCCAGGACTCCCTGTATTCCATTCCTTAACAACGTATCAGAATTAAGAATTAGAATCAAAATGTTTCAAGAAAGATGATCAATCTTTAACTTACCATTAGAACTGTAATCCTAAAAAAACTAGAGGAAGCCAAGCATTGCATTATTTTTCAATCTTATGTTTTCACAGCAGCTTAGAATGGGAAAAAAGTTAAGTAGGAAAGATGGTTCCAGCATGGAGACAGAGTTACTGAGAATGCTTTTCATGTATTGAATTCCTCTTTGTCCAGCGGTTTGTTAAAACCTCACAACGGGACCAACATTTTTTTTAAAAAAGTAGTAAAACTGGTAGAAAACCCTGCAGAGAAACTACAGTTCTAAACAGAGTATGAAAGAAGGGCAAGCTTCTTAAAATGGTATAGTTATATTAATTTTTTGTTTGTTTCTGGCCTTAAAAGAGATAAACAGAGAATGATTCAGTAATTAAGGGAAGAGTGGGTACACAATGACAACCCTGTTAGCTTGAAGGGTATCCCATGAGAAAGATACTATCAAGGGCTGAATAGGTTCTAACCACATTTTCCAGATTGGGATCACAGCACTCAGATCCTTACAGATCGAAACAAAGCTTCCTTATGCTTTAAAACTGTGGAACAGCCTTGAATGCTCAGCTCACAATGCAAATTACTGCTTTTTAAGCAAACCCGCCAAGCGAAGAATGGGCTACAGGGTTGCCAAAATGCAGAGCAAACAAGAGCCCTGTGCCTTGCTTTGTTATCCTTCTGTGTTTGCAGGTACACTTTTAAAAGAAAGGTCAGAAACGTGGTTTAGCTGTGCATGTATTTTTACTGAACCTAAGTTATTTTTCAAATTCTCCTGAATGATTAAAAAAAAAATTATTCAACACACCTAACATCACTTAGGCTATTTTCATTTTTCCTGTGTGTCTGTTCACCCTGGCTGGGGAAATGTACTAACAAGAAAACCTGAGCATTTTGTTAGCGTCCTAAAATGACAACATTAGAGATCCTGTGGCTGTTCACAGAAACAGAGCTGGATTCCCATAGGAGAGAGATATGAAGGGGGAATAGAGTCAGAGTTTTCGCCCTTTGCATTTGTTGAACACGGAACAGAGAATCTTCTGGAAAACTGTTCTGATGTCAACATACCAGGCTGGGCATTTTCTGATTCATGGTCCTTTACAGAACTTTCCCAAGGGACAATGTGTCCCAACTTTGGAGTTTATTTACTAATTATCATTGAACTCCAAAATCTCTCTCTCTATTTCTGCCTCCCTTTCTCTCCCTGTCTCTCTCACACACATTTA